TTCTGCAGTGCAGATATGGAATTGTGTCATGATGATGTCATCTGCTTACTTTTCATTAATTTTGGTAATTATTTTCCTATTATTACACTGTATCTTTTACAAGTTTTCTGGCTCTGTTCCAAGTCAGATTAATTTGAAACTTTACTGGTATAAATTCCTTTGAGAGTAAAAGTATTCATTCAGTGATGTCATTTAATATGGATTGTTAAATTCTTTAACCGACCGTTATTGATGCTTTACACATTTTTCCTTTCAGCCGGTCCAGCAAGAATGCTTGAGAAGATTTTTAAAAATGAAAAAAGACTTTTATTCCATGTTAAACAGATGCTTCTTAAGTTTTATTTTGTACTTGTTGGTCTCATGGAGTCTACAGGCTTCCTGATGTACTGTATGACTGAATCTAATGTTGTAGTGTCTAAGCGTATTTTTGGTAGAGCAAAGAGCCATACCTAGCCCCTACAGCTACCGGTTCATTGTATATTCACACCCATTTGTCAAAATTTGTCAAATTTTGTTTGATGGCTGTGCAACAGCAGGAAGATCTGTTTGTTTCTAAATATTAACTTGGTTCTCGTTCTCAACTTTCCCGCAGCTTGTACATGTAAGCTTGTTACCTGCTTATTAGCCTGACCATACTGGTAGGCCAGTAAACTGTATGGCACATGTACGTTAACCCTAACAGTCCTCAGTCCTCCAACAGGTGAAGGATTGAGGACTGTTAGGGTTAATTATGACAAGGCTATGTCTGAGTTAACTAGCTATGGCTAAGAATAATGCACTAAGTAACCAAAACAGACATGTTTTTATGTGCCAGCGATGGAAGCATCAGCATTACAGGGGGGGATAGCCAAAAGTTACTTGTAACGGCACATGATTCGGACATTCAGGTATTTGTTCTTATCTACTGATACATGTACATGTACAGCGTATATCACATTGTAAATTGATATCTATAAGTTGAGAATAGACGTACATGTACGTGTACTGTACTTTCCAATCAGAATTCCTAAAACAGGCATTGCATTCGGGAACATTTGACCGTAAGTGCGTGTAACTAATGCATAAATGTATACATGTACATGTACCACTATACCAGTACCTCTGGTTGCAAATTTTGCCAGTACACAGCCAGGGGAAAATTTAGCTTTGCTTGCTGGGTGAGGGGGGGTTGAAAAATTTAATTTAATCTCTAGGTTTTTATCCTTGTTGTAAAAGTACATACAAAACAAGACCCTTAATTAGTCTGTGTTTTTGAGGGGACCTTTAAACTTACAATGTACAATGGAGACCCCACCTGCACTTGACAGCACTTTCCATTCTCTTCTAGCTAGCCAATGTTAGAATTGAAAGTTTCAGTGCTGTTGTTGCACATGTCTAGTACGTATATGTAAATAAATTTCCTCACAAAGAGGTTTTACACATGCACTTGTTTGTGTAGTTTCTGTCATGAAAAGGAATCTGCTTTTTTGAACTGTTTCAAAGAAAGTAATTATTGGTAAAGCATACACACATGGGAAAATAACCTTGGCTAGAAGATCTGTAGGTTATGTACGTGTGGCTTGACAAAACAGCTGTGCATTGTGCATATTCATGTTCTTTGATTTCTAGTTATTCAACCTTATTACTCCCAACTGTGGTCACTTGGAGGCTGTGTACAACTTGATTTGAACGTTTGCAGCAATTAAACAGACATAGCATTGTGATGCAGGCATGACGCAGTTGACTGTATTTGAAACCATACAGGATGGGATTGATAGCAGAATTTATTGCTTCAAGGCAGGAGACAATTTGGGTAAGTACTTCAGCAATAACGTAATGATCGTCAAACAAGTTGGAGTAAAGAATAAAATTAATGAGGAAGTGGCTAGGTAGCATTAACACGAAGAAAGCAGTAATTACCAGCAGAAGAGCACCGGTGATTTTCTTGTGAGCTCGCAGCAACTCTTGAGGAGGGCCCTGGATTCCTTGGTTCTCAAGATGCCTTGCGCCTTGCTTCAGATTAATCAGGATCCTTGCATACATGAAAGCTAATGAAATGCTTGGTATTATGAAGAAAAAGATGAAATGAAGGATGCCAGAAGTCACCACCCCGGGGTAGTTCTTCACTGCCGGTATCGTACAGTTATCTTGTATGTACGTTGTGATGTAGAAGATTGGAGTGTATGCCTCAACAAAAAATGGAACCAACCAAACAAAAAGTAGCATGATGATCAGTCGTCTCTTGGTGAAGAAGGTTGAATAATGCAGAGGCTTAATGATGCCAATGTAACGTTCGAAAGTTGCTAGAGTCAGTCCCAAAACTGAGTTTGCAAAAGATATTTGCTTGAGATACACAAACATGAAGAAGACCTTGAAATTGTAGATAAAGGATGGAGTGCAGTAGCCAAAAGTCCCTATCCCCCAACGATGAGCCTCCATAATGGTTGGTCCAAGAATACCTCGAATTCCGACAAAGGCATCAGCTACTGCCAGATTGAGGAGCATGTAGTTGGTGACATTGTGTAGTGCTTTGGTTTTCAATATTGTCAGGCACACCAAAACATTTCCACATAATCCAATGATGGCAGTGGGCACCTGGACCTTATGCAGTGTATACAAGGCTACATAGAAGTCCTCTCTTGTAGGCATGATTTGGTCAGGTTTTAGAATACTTAGACGTACATGTGCGTGAAGATATTTGTCACTTTTTTGGGTTCTGAATATTCCTAACAGGTGTGAGTGCTTTTATACGGGAAAATGCTGTCCAACAAGCACTCTTTCCTGATGAATTACCGGTATGATTCTGAAAGCGCAGTTGCTTAAGGTGTAAAAATAGTCTGTTTAATGCAGTTTGCCTTGATTCTGTTGAAATTAACTTTTCACAGTGCATCCTAAGACAGTTATCACTTGTATTCCACTGTGAGTGAACACTTCATTTGTTTTCTGATTTGAGATTTGGATGGCGGTGTAATAATTGACAAATTGAGGATAATTCTACATTAGTAGCAAACAGACATGCAAGTGCTGTATATATTGTCACCATTTTCAAGAAGAGACAAAAGTCTCACTAGAGAGTTAAAAACCAGGTTTCAAGAAATCTGTCCCTTCATGAAAGAAGTGATCTTAATGACACAAAACTACAAAATCATATCTGTAGAAATAAAGTAAAATTGTTTGTTTTATAAACAAGAACTTTTTCTGTTCATGAAAGTGCTAAAACTTGTGTCACTTTTATCTTTTTGTAAAACCGGCATGCACAGTGTTAGTAACTTATATGTACATGTACATACTTTACCATTGTTTGTGCCAGGTACAGAATTGTTATGGTTGAAAATCTGATAAGTGGGGCAGGGGGACATGGGAAAGATTTCAGCTACATGTGCATACATTGTACGTGTAGGCTCAAGCCAGAGCAAGCTCTCAGTATAGGTTTAGCACTTATCAAATCACATACTGTACATTGGCAAAGGGTAAACCAAATTTTTAGGATTGAAATAAAGAGAAAAATGGAAACTGAACATGGAGTCTTCACGTCAGGTGGCTTAGATAGGACAAGTAATGTAGAGTAAGCTTAGAGTTTGGATATCACGGAGGATAAACCAGTAACTGTTTCTAGCGTGTAAATCAATAGAAAGGAAGATAAGCATTTTGGAATGTTTGAAACAAGGAAGGTGATCTACATGTAGATGAAAATCTACAGGTCATAGGTACAGAATAATCATGTTGTGTTTTTAAAAGCATTTATTCCCCTGACAACTAGTGATAGTACTCACCTGAAGGCTTTGTCCAACTTGATTTGAATGTTTACAGTGATTAATGGACATTCGTGTACATGTACCATTGCAATACAGGTACGACGCTATTGACCGTAATGAAACCATATAGGTAGGAATTGAATGCTGAATTATTATTTCCAGGCAGAAAATAATTTTAGAAATAACTTCAGTAATAATGTAATGATCATCAAACAAATTGGAATAAAGCCTAAAGTTATTGAGGATGTGGCCACTGGCCAGGCAGCATTAATATGAAGAAAGCAGTAATTACCGGTAAGAAGAGAAAAGAATGGGTGACTTTCTTGTGAGCTTGCAGCAACTCTTGAGGTGGGCCGTGGATTCCTTGGTTCTCAAGATGCCTTGCGCCTTGCTTCAGATTAATAAGGATCTTCATATTCATGAAGGCCAATGCAGTGGATGGTATAAAGGTAAAGATGAAACTCAGAATACCTGAGGTTATAACCACAGGATAGTTCTTCAACGATGGTATCTTACAGTTATCTTGTATGTAAGTTGGGATGTAAAAGATTGGAGTGTAAGCCGGCTTGGATGTACAATGTACACCATGCAGGTGTACAGGTGAGCTTGGATGCAGCTCCTAGTCTTTACTGAATGCCTTCCGATAGGTGAACAGTATGTTTTCAGTTCATAAACTTTAGGGTATTGCCATGAACAATGAAAACATAGACTAAATATTTTGCTATAACAAAACAAGCAATCTTCAGTTCCAAATACAATGTACCCTACATGTACATTGTACATTACACAGTATTCTGTAGAGCAGTACATGTCTGTGAAGCAGATGTTTTCCTTAGTGTACATGCCCTGTGCATGCATGCAAAACATTTTGATTGCAGATCCAACCTTAACTCCTACTTCTTGTGAAAGTCAACCACGAAAAAGGGAAACGTAGCGGTACTAAGAGCTTTTTCTTTTTAAATATTCAAAAGAAGTAAGTTAAGGTGTTCATTACCTTTAGCCCCCTGTTCTTATGATAAACGAAGTCCACTTTTTCAAACTAACTGATATTTAGACCTTGAAGATCCATTTGTTTATCCTAGTATCTCTAGTTTAGGTAAATTTTGCCAGTATTTAAGCAAGAAAACCAAAATTTTCTTACCTGAGTTTGGCAAAAGACGACCACATCAAGCCATTTTGTTTCACGTCTGGCTACCTGACCCAGCCATTGTGGATATAGGCCTAGGCCTATTAAATTGTATTAAAAAAAAGCTTCATCCAGGTCGAGGAACCAGACTACATTCACTATAATTCGTCTTCGTTTACTGCTCTTCATTGCGTCATTTACACTCTATCCCATAACTTCCCTCAAAACCAGAGCCCCGTCCTCTTTCTTTCTGATATGAGAGGCCATCACGCCCAACTTATTAAGTTGTTTCAAAAAGGTGGACTTTGTTTCCTTAATAGGGGAACAGGGTGCTAAAGGTAATGAATGCCTAAGTTAAGTTGAAAGTAAACATTTACCTTTATGTGGTAGATATACATTACGTGTACATGTAGGCTACATAGAAAGGAAAAACCGAGTACCTTTGGGAGTTTTGTGAAACATGCAGTTGTTCCTCCTGATAACTAGTTAAGTGGTCACTTGGATGCTATGAACTTGATTTGAACGGATGCATGGACATACCATTGTGATGCAAGATTGGCGTAGTTGATTGTACTTGAAGCCATACAGGATGGGATTTACAGTAGAATTCAGCAATTCCAGCATCTTAACACTCTGGGTCAGTAACTCAGCGATAATGTAACGTTGATTAAACAAGTTTGAGTACACGATGATGTTGGTAAGAATGTGGCTAGGTAACATTAGGATGAAGAAAGCTGCAACCACCAGCAGAAGAGATTTGGTGACTTTCTTGTGAGCTCGCAGCAACTCTTGAGGTGGGCCCTGGATTCCTTGGTTCTCAAGATGCCTTGCACCTTGCTTCAGATTAATTAGGATCTTCATATTCATGAAGGCCAATGCAGTGGATGGTATAACAAAGGTAAAGATGAAACTCAGAATACCTGAAGTTATAACCACAGGATAGTTCTTCAACGATGGTATCTTACAGTTATCTTGTATGTAAGTTGGGATGTAGAAGATTGGAGTGTATGCCTCTGTCAGAAATGGAACCAACCAAACAAAAAGTAGCATGATGATCAGTCGTCTCTTGGTGAAGAAGGTTGAGTAATGCAGAGGCTTAATGATGCCAATGTAACGTTCGAAAGTTGCTAGAGTCAAACTAAAAACAGAGTTTGCAAAAGAAATTTTCTTGAGATACACAAACATGAAGAAGACCGTAAAATTGTAGATGAAGGATGGAGTGCAATAATCAAATTTACCAATCCTTCGACGATGAGTTTCCATAGTCGTTGGTCCCAGTATACTGTGAAATACTACAATGATATCAGCTACTGCCAGATTGAGGAGCATGTAGTTGGTGACATTGTGCAATGCTTTGGTTTTCAATATCGTCAGGCACACCAAAACATTTCCACATAATCCAATGATGGCAGTGGGCACCTGGACCTTATGCACTATCCATAATACTGAATACAGCTCCTCCTTAGTAGGCATAATTTGTATCTTTAGTGTAGTTTAAGACACGAAAATGTACGAACGTGTACAAACACACTTCTGTACAATGTACATGTAAGTATTCAGCCCACTCAGTTTTTGGATGTTTCTCTGTACATTCGACACCTGTCTGGATTGCTTTTATACCGAAAGTCACATTGATGACAGACTCTTCTCCTTATTAAATGTAAAGATCTGGAAGCTTGTTCTATGGAACTGCAGTTGTTTAACACAACGCTGCAAAAAAATTATTTTGACAGAACCTTAATAGTTCATTAAATGGTTATTACAGGGTTCAATATCCATGAAATACAATAAAAGGAGAATCTTTATTAGACAAAGAGCTGCTAAAACTGCGAAATCAAGTTTTAAAAGGATAAAGAAAAATTGGGAAATAAAAGAATGATGTGTTAAAGAATGAAAACGAAAAAGCAAGAAAAAACCTCATTAAATTGCACTGACCTTGGGTGCTTACATCGGGGGGGGGGAACAGCCACCGTTGAGAGCAGATTTGAATGGAGGCAGAATAAAGTGGCCAAATCAAGCATTGGTTGTGTTTGACTCAGGTTATTGTAAAGTAAGGAGAATCTGTTAAAAACACCATTTTTAGAGATGACAGAGGTTCCTCACTGATACAACATTTCATCTTTAAGTGAATGAAGAGAAAAAGCTGCTATTAACCCTAACAGTACGGGGCATTGTTTAGCTTAGAGTACTCAGTACTACAAAATATTACGTACGGTAACAATCTCAGCCTGAAGGACCTAGCGCTACAAATTACTACTTGTGGCTAGGTTACTTCCATTGTTACTCGTACAGAGAACAATGAAACCATGCATTCATAGTGCCACAGCACTGTATGGTACATTGTCTTCTCCATTGTAATTTATGGCTTCAGAGAATAATAATGTCATGTCTTCTTACGAGCGACAGGACTGAGTACTACATTTTACTACTAAGTACATGTACATGTAGTACTTTGTAGAATTTGGGACTGTTGGGGTTAAAAGTGGAAGTAACACACTGAAACAGGACATTATGTTAAGTTACTGTACTTTTGGTGCACCGACATGTACATGTACTATACGTGCACACACGTACATTTTGGAAGAAGAATCTGTCAGTGGGTGTTGTGACTGGGTGAACCATCTGTCTGGTTAATGAAACACCTAAAATGCCTCATTAATGATGTTCGCCTTAAATCTGCTTCAATTTATACATGTAGTTGATAGCGCTTTCAGAGCAGACATCACATGGGAAAAGAGTCAGTACAGGTTGATAAACATCACTTCGGCAGTGTTTCCTACATATGGATACATATTTCATTCAGGTTGGCTAGAGTAGTTCTTTCCTCGCTTTCCACCTGTGGTCCCAGGTTCGATTCCTGGCCCATTCCACATGTGGATTAGGTTTTCAGTCCCTACCTGATTCCGTGGGTTTTACCTGGCCAGAATATTCCTCTGGGATTTTCCTCCCACCTCTAAAACTGTAACTGCTTCTCATTGTCACATGTCTGCATGTACAAGTTTCTTCAAGGCTTAGGAGCTTATAGTGCCTAGGACGCTCAGTTGAGAAATCCATAATGTCATTATCAGAACTTAAAATACCAATACATTTAATAATATTGTCATAACTCCAGCATCCTACATGTATCATTCATTCCGAATCTGAATGAGCAGACTTTTATGTAAAAGTCAATGTCTATTTTGAGCACTTTCAAAAATGGATTGTAAGTTTTGTTTCTGTTCATTTTTGCCTTCAAAAGGAAGGAAGATTTTTATCAAACAATTCACATGCAAACCCAGGAAAGCCCGGCTTGCTGATGAAGTTGTTGGTTGTTGTGCAAACTAAGGTGACCATAGAATGTCTTTAAATGACTTACCTGTACATGTCCACATTTACGTAGTCACAGAGGCCACTTGCTGGCTGTGTACAACTTGATTGGAACGTTTACTGTGATGAGCACATGGACACAGCATTGATACACAGGCACGGCGTAGTTGACTGTACTTGAAGCCATACAGGATTGGGTTGATAGTAGAATTCAAGAGTTCCAGGATGGAGATGGTTTGACTAAGCAATTCAGCAAAAATGTAATATTCGTCAAACATGCTTGAGTAAAGGATGATGTTCTCCAGAAGTTGACCAGGTAACATTAGGATGAAGAAAGCTGCAACCACCAGCAGAAGAGATTTGGTGACTTTCTTGTGAGCTCGCAGCAACTCTTGAGGTGGGCCCTGGATTCCTTGGTTCTCAAGATGCCTTGCACCTTGCTTCAGATTAATTAGGATCCTTACATACATGAAAGCTAGTGAAATGCATGGTATTATGAAGAAAAAGATGAAATGAAGGATGCCAGAAGTCATCACCATGGGATAGTTCTCCATTGATGGTATCGTACAGTTATCTTGTATGTACATTGGGATGTAGAAGATTGGAGTGTATGCCTCTGTCAGAAATGGAACCAACCAAACAAAAAGTAGCATGATGATCAGTCGTCTCTTGGTGAAGAAGGTTGAGTAATGCAGAGGCTTAATGATGCCAATGTAACGTTCGAAAGTTGCTAGAGTCAAACTAAAAACAGAGTTTGCAAAAGAAATTTTCTTGAGATACACAAACATGAAGAAGAGCTTGAAATTGTAGATAAATACTGGAGTGCAGTAGCCAGAAGTGCCTATCCCCCTACGATGAGTCTCCATTATTGTTGCTCCCAGAGTACTTTGAATTCCGACAAAGGCATCAGCTATTGCCAGATTGAGGAGCATGTAGTTGGTGACATTGTGCAGCGCTTTGGTTTTCAATATCGTCAGGAACACCAAAACATTTCCACAAAATCCAACAACAGCAAGATTCACTACAACCTTATGAAGCGTCCACAACACTGCAAAGGGATCCATTTTGGTTGAATATGATTGTTTCTATCTTGTGTGATGTTCAGACTTACATTTACCGTGTATCAACATACATGTACACTGGGTTTTCTGGCTGTTCATTTGAGGTGATTCCTGTATGCTCTACGCACTTGTAAAAGATAATAATCCCCTTGGCAGCAGTGTCTACTTTTATCGTCTCAGGCTTCTTGTATCACATTGTTTGGGAAAGAAAGGTGCAACACACACTGATGGATGATTACTTGCCAATTTTGAGCTGATTAATTCCTATCACACTGTTTCATCAACTTTTTGACAGTAAGAACTACGTTTCGATGGAGTCATTGTATGATCTTCAATAGAAACGATGTGAAATTGTAACAGACAAATTCAATATACATGTATACATGTAGCTTTACATTTAATAATAATGATTCTAGTGGAGTTGATAAAAAAATTTTGAGTTTTTATTGGCAAAAACATGCCAAACTTGTTCTATAATTTTTGATGGACAGTGGAGAGGCTGTTGTCTCACCAGCTCACTGGATCTTCATATACAGTACATGTTCATTGCAGTTGAAAGTTAACCTGGGAATAGGAAATTGTTTTTCCCAGGAATTTGTTTTCATTTCACAAAGTCTGAAAATCTTTTACCACAATGGAGAAAAGACTTTCATAGTTTTTGCACAAGTGAGGAAAACAGTTTTACAGATTTTCACACGTGGGAAAATATTATCCCGGTTTTTTTTCACCCAAGTGGAAAAATGTCTATGCTTTTTCACACAAGTGGTAAAAGATTTTCACCCTCTTTCACACAAGTAGGGAAAGATTTTCACCCTCTTTCACACAAGTAGGAAAAGATTTTCACCCTCTTTCACACAAGTGGGAAAAGATTTTCTGGCATTGTCACATAATTTGGAACAGATTGTCATGTCTTTTTACACAAGTGGGAAATTTTATTTTTTGCACCTGGGGAAATGTGAGTGTCAACAGGAATTGCTTTCACGTTCGCTTTGCACTCTACATTGGTTAATAAATACTTGGGGTGTTCATTTCTGCATTGTACGAGGATACAATGTACCTTCCTGAAGTAAAACACAGATACCCTTTGGTAAAACTGAAAACCCATCTCCGGAATTCAAAGGCATCCATCGCAGTCACATTGAAGAGCAGGTGCCACTATCATATCGTTGTGTAAAGTTTGGATGTTTTCTATTAAGGTTGGGAATTTACGTGTAATTTGAAAAAGTAATTTTGGAGTTTGCCTTGCCCGACGTGTATTTTAACACTGTATACTCCATGTATGCCCCCAAAGTCTTGTGAAAAAAAACCCACAAGCGTACTCGGGTGGGACTCAAACCCACGACCTCTGCTTACTAGTACATTAAAATTAATTAAAAACAAATTTTTAAGTATGTAAAGCTAATTTACTGCTCTGTGGTTTTTAATAAATATTCAACACATCTTGCTGTTGTTTACAGCTTTTACAAAGTGTGGGGAAACTTTCAGGCTTATTAAGATATGTGCCTACAGGTGTACATGTACCTCATCGAGATTGCCGTGTTGTGTTCTTGAGTAAGACAACTATTTTCGAGTATTTGTTACAGATTTGAAGTCAATAAAGCTATCCATTCGGCCCTGCCCACTGTGCACACGTGTCTCACTGCACACTGCGTGCAGCCACATAAGTAGGCTTATTGTACATGTGCATGTACACGTACACATGCAGAAATTGTGCACACATTTCAGACATCAATCATAGCAATGATTGGTTGAAAGGCCATGGGATGGGATCAGACCATTTCCGGAGCTTTAATTTATTAGTATAGAACTTTGCTAAACCCAGACCACATTTGCTCAACTGTCCCCCATCACTTTCAGCCTTTTCTTAGTTATTCTTTTAAGGAGAGGTCTGTGTCCCATTGTACCTCTCATTGAACCATACACTGACCCAGGTGTCATCTACAGCAATTGATCCCCCAAGTGGAAAGGTACCTAAATGCTGCTAATCCAATTGCCCTTTTCTTACTCTGTAGGTTGAAGGTCACGTTTTCCTAAATGGTTGTTCTGGCCAAAGACATTCTCATTCTTGCTGGAGTTTTGTTTCTGCATCAACAGGTTGGGTATTTCTCTTTCATGTCAACTGTATTCATAACAATAGTTCTTTTGTCATTTGTTTTGTGATGTTGGATTTTTGCCAGTGGCTTATACATGTGTATTTCCATACACTCTTGGGAGCTCCTCATCTGAGGATCAATTTATTGGTATGATGAGCAGGGGTAGCATTGTGGAACTGATCAGGAATCATGTTGAGGAATGTGTATTTTTGTGACCGTAAGTTCAGGCATTAGTTTAACATCAGACCAGATCCTGTCATTGAAACTGTCTAACAAAGCAATGTCTTGTTAGCACCAAACAGCTCTTTATGTTGAGCCTTTGCCATGGAATTGTATTTAGTATACCAGTGAATTTTTCCAGCTACAGTTCTGCTCTTGGATTACGGCACAGATCACAGTATTTCCCAATGGATACCTAATCTGCCTGAGTGGTTTACTGCCTACAGATGGTATGCAAATGAAGCTTAAAAAGTGATGTGGCATACCATTTCCAAAATATGCTTTTGTACTTCATACTCTTTAAGCCTTGTAATGAAATCCATGCACAGGTGTTCAGGCCTTGTAATGAAATCCATGCACAGGTGTTCAGGCCCTGTAATGAAATCCATGCACAGGTGTTCAGGCCTTGTAATGAAATCCATGCACAGGTGTTCAGGCCTTGTGATGAAATCCATGCACAGATGTTCAGGCCTTGTGATGAAATCCATCTTCAAGTGCTTAGGTCAGATGAAGACATATGGATCATTAAAGGTACAGTCCATCATTTGCACTTCACCAAAAAGTAACTGATGAAATTATTGTTGAAAAGCATATATGGTTGGAAGATGGTTATGGGACTTAATACATTGTAGCTCCCTGACAAATCACTCTTTCTGACAAGCTGCCATTTCAAAGAAAATGAGAAATGTAAGCAAGTATTGGGCTGATTTTTCTGTGATTTGACTGAACAAGAATGTGTCCCAGATGCTGAATTCAGGTGCAGTTCAAAACTTGGCTCAGGAACTTATGATTAGAACTTCTGCAAATCCTAGAATACCGGTTTTCTCTGAATTCACCGCATTGAAACTTCATCAGGTTTGTCCTCAGGCACCCTAGATTCTGAGGAAATTTTGTTGCCTCAGTGGGACACAATACAAGCTGACAAATGATGGGCTGTACCTTGAACCTGTGCATTCTGCATACCTCATCAACTTACTTTACTTTCCCCAGGGAGCCATGTCAAGCATGAAAGCAGTAAGGTTTGATGAGTACGGTGGGCCAGAGAAGCTGTACATCGGGGAGGTGGAGAGTCCTATACCAGGCCAGGGAGAGGTGTTGTTGAAGGTGTTTGCGACAGCCATTAACAGAGCAGATACCTTACAGGTAGAGAGTTGCTCTTCCACTATTCTCTAGTGGAATAAATATGAAAAATAGGGGCACAAACATGTATATATGTGGGTCATTCTACATGCATAAATTTAGGGTGTAATGTATCTTATTCCAATTGTATTTTATTGACTTCCAGCAAATCCTGAGAGAATTTGGGTTCCATTGTTTTTAGTTGGCAGGATCTTACAACCCACCTCCAGGTGCCAGCCCAATCCTGGGTCTGGAAGCAACCGGGGAAGTGGTCCAGCTAGGACCTGGCTGCTCCAAATGGAAACTGGGTAAGATATTTTATCATCAGGGAGGCTTGTCTCCTGTCAGCACATGAGCAACATAATTACAGCCCGGTGTTTGGGGGATTTTTTTATAGTAATATTGAATGAATAGAAATACATGTTTTCCATCTTACTTCAAAAAAGGCTCAGCCAAATATAAGCTCCACCATAAGTAACAAAGACAACAACTAGTGCATTTTGTTCTTGATCTTGGTTAAGGTGATCGTGTTGCAGCTCTGCTTCCAGGGGGAGGGAATGCCGAGTACGCTGTAGCTCATGAAGGTCATCTGATACCTGTGCCAGGTCACATGACGGTCAAGGATGCTGCTTCAGTACCAGAGGTGTGGTTGACTGCCTATCAGCTACTTCACTTCGTGGGTGAGTTAATTCATTCTATTCACTATTTAAGTGCGGTGGCTGTTAAATTCAGATGCCGCACTGTTAGAATAAGTTCCTGTTAGAGATCCATTAATAGCTTGAGGTTTTTTGGGGGGTGTGTGATATACTATTGTCGTCCGCAATCTCTGCAGGTCATGTCAAGGGAGGTGACAGAGTGCTGATCCATGCTGGGGGCAGTGGTGTAGGAACTGCAGCAATTCAACTCGTCAAATTAGCAGGTGCAGAACCCATCGTCACAGCAGGGACACAAGCTAAACTAGAGAAGGCTGAAGAGCTGGGGGCAGTTGCTGGCTTCAACTACAAGGAAGTGGACTTTGCTGACCAAATCTTAGAATACACAAAAAGTAAAGGTTGAAGTGTATCTTAAATATCATGTACACAATTATGTATTCTGTTTACATCTTATGCTTTGCCTAGTGCATTTTCTTACATTTCTTTCTATTCAGAAATAGGCCTGCTGTCAGACTTCCGGTAGTTATTTTGCTGAACGAATTCCGCAGTTTTGAGAATCATTTTTACGGTATTTGTGTAGACTTTTAACCAGCATTGTTTGGCGCTTGATAAGGCTGATAAACTTTTAAATTCTTTTCAATAGTTTTGGGGTCCTGGCCCATCAAGATGAACAAGTGTAACCAAAATATTTGAAGAAGCAGCTTATGCATTATACAGTTTACTTTAATTGGAAAAAAAAAGGTAAATTCCTGTTTTTGTGTGTTCCCCAGACAAAGGAGTTGATTTGATTCTTGACTGTGTCGGTGCCAGCCACTGGGAGAAAAACCTGCGATCAATTGCCATGGATGGGACTTGGGTTTTGTACGGACTGATGGGTGGAGCCAAGGTGGATGGGCCTATTCTTGGAGGGGTACTTCGCAAGAGGGTGACCATAGTTGGTTCAACGCTCAGGGCGAGAAGTACTCAAGTGAGTGTTTGGATATAAGTCCACCTCATTTAGGATTTGCAGCTTTACCTGAGCTAACCGGTGTGGTTTATTAGATATCAGCAAGACATGAGTTATAGATCTCTCTCAAATGACATCAACTTCTATGGATTGCCATGTGCATTGGCATTTTTTACTTCAAATTTACGTGATGCCCATTGGCTGTGCCGTGTTTCGAAGAAATTTAAATCAATACTCGCATGAGTATGGAACATTGGCGCACCATGCACACACATATTTGCAGTTGTAGTTTTCCTACAAATACGGCGTTCATTCTATTGGTTATAGGTATGAAATCCACCTCTATGTCTTTGGGAATGCAAGGATGTGCGTCAATCTTTGTTTTTCTCTGCGAGAGCTGCAACGGCGCCTTTTTTGCCGCAATGCCTCAACATCCAGCTCAACCTTCTACCCTGGGCAATAGATCCCAACAAGATCAATATTGAACAATGATAGCAGACTATGGATACCAAGTTGCTTGTTGTCAGCTTATTATCATAGTAAAGCTGGTCTAGTACCATGACTTGATAATGTGTGTCTGCAATTGTCTGTACAATCCAACCTGGGGGGGGGAAGCCATGTCACCGCAACATCAGTTTGACCAGAGACAAACTGTTTTTTTTACATCATCTTGTTGCAGTACAAAACGGACTTGGTGCAAGCATTCACCAAAAATGCTCTACCACACTTCGGGACGAAGTTGATACCCATCACAGACAGAGTTTTCCCTCTGGAGGAGATTGTTGAGGCTCATAAATACATGGCAGCCAATAAGAACATTGGAAAAATTATTCTGAGTGTTCAAGGGGACATGACTGGAACCAGTCACAGTGAGCTGTGATAAGTATCCACAAATCACAACTAATATACAGGGTTCCTGTCGACTGGAAAAGTCATGAAAAGTCACGGAAATTTGTTTTTCCTTTTTCAGGCCTGGAAAAGTCATGGAATTTTGTCATGGAAGTCATAAAAAAATGTGTGACTTCCATTATCAGAAATAAGCGCATAAAATCTGTGATTGTATTTGCACCCTAAAAGGCCACAGTCCAAGAAATTGTGTTCTTTAGTCGTGGATTTTCATAATTTGGTCATGGAAAAGTGATTGAATTTAATAGTCCTTCAGGTGCAGGAACCCTGCATAATAACATAATATTATTGTGACAAAATGTAGCCTTTTTCTTTCCCTTTCGTTTTATAATGTTCCAGTCCAAGTGTGTACTTGATTCATATATATTACTTTTGTATGTCTGGTTTCTGTAAAAATACTGCATCCAAAGGCAACCTTTGTTTTTATTCATTTAACTAAAGAACATATTAATTTTTATCAGTGTCTTTGTTAATTTAACTAATCAAGGTTATCAAATAAAAACAATGCTTTATATATGTCATTAAAGTTTGCTCACTATTAGGTTATTTTGCAAATCACTTTAAAATACTTTGCAACGACTAGGAGATGTCTTTCATGCAAGTTGCAAGCCAATTCATATATCACATCTTTGGGCCATAAATAAAAATTACCAGGGTTGAACCATTTTAATTAAATTTGGTCCAAAATTTGGCCTTTTTTTCAAATGCCTCCAAATATTTCTGGACAAGCAGGAGTGTGTGTAATATTAGTTATCACAGTGAACATGGACTAATGTTGTGTGTCTGTGTCCTGAATACCACGAGGCTAGTATACAGGACACAGGTGCATTACATTATTCAATGTTCCACAAACGGGAGCATGATAACGAATTTATCTTCAAGCAAACTTGACACTCATTAAAGATGTTAAAGGGGCCCTTTTTGCATGAAAACAGTGCAGTGCGCGGAAAAAGAATAGTGCATCATGCGGGGTTTGATGTAAGCCGTGCAACATAGTTATATGTCACACTGTTTGTTGCCATGGATCGACCTGTCAAAATTGAGAATTTAAGTTTGCTTGAAGATAAAGGACTAAGTGTCATGAAAGAATTGTATTCTGGAAATTTTCAGCAAAAATCAAAACCATTCAATGTTGTCCAATTTTATCTCATGTTAAACTTTAAAATGCTTGTTCACAACTGAGAAAATATGTTTAGGCACAAAGAGACATTTTTAATGCCATTTTCAGACAAAATATCATTGTGACAATTTTGAGCTAGAATGAAATAAATTTACAAGAGGCTAGCATTCCATTTTGAATTTTGCCCAAATTTTGACTCTTGAAAGTTTCCAGCAAATTCAGCACTCCAAATATCTGAGCCAGTAAATTTTGACAGATTTTTAATTTTTCTTCAAACCTCTCTAAAATGATTGTAGATGACTGAAAATGTGTTTTAAACGCTAAGAGGTGTCTTTTATGCACGTTTCAAGTAAATTCAGCATACCAAATTTTTGACCCAAATTTAACAAACTTGCAAGGGGTTAGCCTTGCATTTTAATTCAGTTTTGAGCAAATTTTGACTCTTCTTCAAACCTGTCGAAAGAGATTGTAGATGGCTGACGATGTATTTTGATTCACTTTGAACAAATTTTGATTGTCTTCAAACCTCTCTAAAGTCATAATAAATGACTGACAATGTGTTCGAAACACTAGGTGTCTTTGATTGGGGTTTCAAGCGAATTCAGCATACCAAATTTTTGACCCATTTTTTTGCATATTTGCAAGGGGTTAGCCTTGCATTTTGATTCAGTTTTGAACAAATTTGGATTTGTCTTCAAACCTCTCTAAAATGATTATAAATGACTGACAATGTGTTCTAAACACTGAGGTGTCTTTCAAGCTGGTTTCAAGTAAATTTAGCATAACAAATTTTTGACCCAAATTTAATAATTTTGCAAGGGGTTAGCCTTGCATTTTGATCCAGTTTTGAACAAATTTTGATTTGTCTTCAAACCTCTCTAAAATGATTATAAATGACTGACATTGTGTTCTAAACATTAAGAGGTGCCTTTGATGCAGGTTTCAAGTAAATTTAGCATACCAAATTTTTGACCCAAATTTAATAATTTTGCAAGGGGTGAGCCTTGCATTTTGATCCAATTTTGAACAAATTTTTATTTTTCTTC